GGGGCCGTTTCCGGAAAGTGAAAGTGGTAAAAAGTATTTCATGGTTGTGATGGATTACTTAACCAAGTGGCCAGAAGTCTTCGCCATTCCAAATCAAGAAGCTTCAACTGAATTGAATTTTGAGTCTCAAATATTCTAGGAAACTTGCCGAGTTACGAGTACTCAAAAAACAAGAACAACTTCTTACCACCCACAATCTGATTGAATGGTAGAACGATTTAATCAGACATTGGAGAGGTACCTAGCAAAAGTTGTGGAAAAACGGCAACGAGACTGGGACAGCCACAAAATTATTCTATTCAACAAAAACGGTTGTTTTTGTTGAATAGAATAATTTTTATTCAATATACATTACATGTGTAATTCTTATTGAAAGTCATTTTTTACTTTACCACTGGTTCGAAAAAAACCCTCTGTCCTCGGAAGAACCAGCAAGAAACCCAGCGGGACTTTTTTTTTAAAATAAATTTTACAATATAAGTGATTACGAAATATTTACAAAATTTATTTTAGAAACTGCTTGGAAGCGACCACCTCATTCCCAGGGGCTATTATCAGGCCTCCGTCACTCGCTCAAGACCCTGCGTTTTATGCCTACCGTTTTGCGTATCGCCCACGATACAACCGACATTGGGCTGCCGCACGCCCGCCTGAGCACTTGCACTGCACACGTTTCCCGCGCTTACTCGTCGAAATGCCGAAACCACGTAATTATTGTGCAATGGAGGGGTGTCAGAGTGAAAAAACAAATGAAAAATTGTCTTTTTTTTCTTAACTATAAGATTACATCGAAACAAAACATAACAGTGCTGTAATTTATAAATTGAGTGACAACCATTTTCAACGATAAAATTTAATAACCGAGAATTCAAATTGAAGGAAAAGAATGTATAAATCATTTTATAAAACTCAAACATATTTTATTGACAAATAAAAAATATGGTAATTTCGCAAGATTCGTTTTATTACAATAATCATCATAGGTACAACCCTAGAGCATTCGTGCGATGACGGGCTTGCACGTGAGTCGCACGGCGGTCAACACAATCTCGACTCTTTAGGCGCGTATTTATGGTACATTTTCCTCTCACTGCGAACAATAGATATTATTATTAAGATTTTGTAGGCTATTATAGCGTAGGTATTTTCGATTTTGTATGGGAGTGATGTATCTGTTTAGTAAACTATTAACTAATCTGTGCTATTATCAACCATGTATTCATTTATACTATAATAACCCTTTTTATACAGTTTCAGCTTAATAAAACATTTAAACTTGGTAATAGAAAGAACCTGTACACTTTCTAGGACCTTGTAAATTCGATATGTTGTTGTCATATCGAAGCGCTGTTCACGAAAGTACATCAGTGACACCAGCTTTCGCAAACTTTGGGAGAGAATTACGGCTGCCTGCAGACCTGTTCACCGGAATACCACCTGACCCCACGCAGCATAACCGATTATGCAAATGACTTGCGGAACAAAATGAATGACATTTATGAGCACGTCACACAGTCGGGCCAGCAAACGTCTGAGAAGATGAAAACACGGTATGACCGCAAAATGAACAACAAAGTGTTTGACGAGGGTTCACTAGTGTGGTTACACAATCCAGTTCGCAGCAAAGGGAAAGCTCCTAAGTTTCAAGCTAAATGGGACGGACCGTACCGGATTGTGACAAGGATCAATGACGTAACCTACCGGATACAGAAATGTGCCAGAGGTACTCCTAAGATCGTCCATGTGGATCGACTGGCGCGTTATTATGGGGCCAATAACGCTCGGGACGAGCACTTCCTAGGAGGGGGCAGTATTGCGCGCCACTATTAATGTCTTGTACATGGCAACACTAGTTACCACTAGCGCCCTCTAGTGTCGAGTAGCAGAACCAGGAGAGTCGAGATCCTTCTAGAAATTTCGGGACCGATATGTACTCGAACATACTAGATGTTTCTACAGTAGAAGGTTCTGGAAACTATCTGAGGCCCTATATAAGGCCGGTTATAGACCACGACCGGGTCAGTATTGAATTGGCGATATAGGCGAATACTTCGAAGCTATACAACTGCGAACTAAAGTGATCAGTAGTACAATTGTGTTTTATTATTAGTGTGGTTTAAGTTGTAATTAGTGTTGTGTATTAATTACAAAACACTAATTACAACTTAAACCTGTCGTGTGTCAGACTTAAAGTGTCGATTTTGGTAATTTACTCGGCAGTTTTTAATCGTCTCGAACCCCAAGCTCGTAACAATATCAATGTTATTCACAAAAGCTTGACATCGTTTATGCCAATGTCAAATAAAGGAGGGAAAACAATCAAAAACGCATACTTAGAAAAAGACAAGAAATATAGTTTTGCTTCTCCCTTACTCTTAAGTCTAACTATATACGTGCATTCCTTTCACACGCTGTTGACGTCACTGAATGTTTAGTCTATAAGATACTATCTATAAGTATATGTCTATGCGCCACATCGAGCATAGAAAATGCTCGAAGATGCGCTAGTATATTCTAAGTCTATGGTTGCTACATATTTATTAATCTGTGGTTTATACAAGAGAGAGATTGTTGGAGTTTGGGAGGAAACAGGGAAACTTGACTGGCGGCGGGTTGCTGGTGCTGTATTATTGTTTAAATAATGGTTTTTGATGTGTAAAAGTGGTGCGACTTTGTGTACTAAAATTCTGCGCATGTGAACTATTAGTGGAAACGGTTAAGGTGAAAGGGCCAGTGTGGCCCGCGAAATTCAAATTTTGTTACGTTTTTTAGAATTTGCAGGTCAGGGTCAGGTTGCATGTTTAACAAAATATGATTCGTGACCGTAACGAGTATGTGTTAACAGAATTATTATCATTAAGATCACCAATACTACCCTCTAAGTTCACATAAACCCTTTGAATGAGTTTTTCTGGCAATGAGGATCCACATGCAAAGCTAATCGTAGAGGGCGCCATGGCTGCTGTCAAATTTTTGTAGATTAGGTAGTTTCTATGAGAAGATTTTGCATTTCATTGTATTGAAACTGGTTGACTATCAATAATTTTAAGAAAATTTAAAAAGTAGCCATTTGAAAATATATGGAGATTTATGGGGTGGGTGTTGAAGAGTGTGGATTGTTTTTGTCTCAGAAACGACCTTATCTAGGAGCATCTCCAGATGGCTTACTAGGATCAGAAACAATAAATAAAGTAAAATGCCCTTATGCTTCCAGAAACCAAGAAATCAGTCCTCTTACAGTACCTTACCTACAATTTGATGACAATGGACAACATACTTTAAAAAAAACTAATATTTATTACTATCAAATTCAAGGGCAATTACATGTAACAAAAAGAAGATTTTGTAGTTTATTAGTTTTTACCTATAAAAGTTTAAAAGTAATATTTATTGAACGTGATGAACAGTTCATTACGAATATGTAGAGAAAACTTGATTATTTTTATTACAACTTCTTTAAAAATGCTGTAACCAAAAAATATTTTTTAAGGATTAAGATTTTATTATATATGGGAGTATGCTAAGGCTGAATCTGAATGATAGGGTGAGAAATTGTGTGATAAGAGAAGTGTGTTTTAAAATATGATGTTGTGACCAGGATTAAGAAAGTAATGCTTTGGTGGTTTGTTCATGTATGAACAAGGAAAGAGTAGCAAAGCAAATTTATATTGCAGATGTGAACAGCAGAGTAGGGAAGGTACGCCTTAGACTAAGGTTTATCAACCAAATTGGCAATATATTGAAAATGGGCCAGATTAGCAGTACCCTTAACCAACAAGCATATGTGAGTGTATGTATATGGATGTAAAGGAGGCTAAAGAGGTGTGTCAGGATCATGCCAAATGAAAGTCCATAGTCTCTGATTACCCCTCTGGATAACAGGCGTGTTTATGTTGTTTTTTAAGATTTTATAATAAAATATATGAAGAGTTGTAAAAAAGCTTTTATTTCATGATATTTTCTCTAAAATTACAAGTCATAGCACAAACAAATAAAATTCTAGATGCTAGCAGTACATGATAAGGGCTCAATTCACTTTTTAAAATCTTATATGATTTAGCTAGACCTATAATATGTTCTATATGAACTCGTTTGCTTGCTAGTTTTCGATCCTGAATTATTCTAACGCCTGGTAATTGTGTTTTTCCTTTTAATAACATTGGTATGTTAATAGTAACGTCTCTTGATGCAAAAATGTCCTGCACATTAAAACCTCTGTCTGCCATAATAGAATCCCCACTGTCACACACATTTATCAGTTTGGATCTTTCTATGATCTGTCTATCACTGACTGAACCTCCGTAACATTCAGAGACATATGGTATAAGACCTCCAGGTGTTGCTTCAATCATAGCCTTCTCAGTGTTTTTGTGTTTGTAACTGCGGAAGGTCACCTGCTGTGCTACTGGATTCCCAGGCCGTGTGATGGGTATTTCAGTTTTGTCCACAAAAATCCTAGTACTTGGAAAACCCCTTTTAAAAGACTCTGGCATATAATATTGAACCAATTCTTTATTTGGCCAAATATTAACTAAAGAACATATTTCATACATAAAATTAATCCATGTTATAAAAATGTTAGCAACAGTAGTTTGGGAAATACCAAATAAAAATGCCAACTCAAAATCTGGCAAATACCTTCTAAGCTTAATTAGTGTTATCAACAGTTGGTCACCAATACAAACATTGATAACTTTACTTCCCCTGTAATTTAAATTATAACACATTGGACTTAATGTGTCTAACACCAACATGAATTTTTCATATTTTTCTAACCCAGTATAAAAATGAATAGCCTGTGGATTGCCTCTCATGGCCTCTAGTGATAAGATTCCAAAAGAACTACCAAATTAAGTGCTAACAGACACTGTTTTTGGAGTAAAATCTTCTAAAGAGCCTTCAATGTTAGATATTTCAATTTCGGCGCCACAAGATGGTTCTGGAATACTTTCTTCTACAGATGGTTGTCTGAAATCAATTATGCGTCTGCTTCTTTTCATTTATCGACTGGTTCTTGATGTAGGTGTTGTTGACACCTGGGTGGACCAAGGGAATATACTTGGTACAGTTCCATTTTTCAGATATTTGCATATTTGAGGATGTCCTGTAAACAACAAAAATTGAGAAAAATAGTACAAGATTACCTTAAATTACTTAAATAACTTTACTGTACATCTACATAAGTAAAATAGATTTTATGAATTTAACACAATATAATCTGATGTATGAAGGCAAACATTACATACATTATTTATTTTATTGGTTCATTATTGGTGTTCACGCTCTTAGCTGCCCCAACAAAGGTCGACCGTACCAGGGCCCATGAGTGGTAGTCACAACGGGCAACCAAGGGAGGGGCCCAATGGCCTATGGATAAATGTTCTAATACGGCTGACAAATAAGCAAGCTCAACTTACCGATTTCCGGAGGTAGGGTTGACCACAGGGTACCAGTCAGGTGGTAAGTGATGTGCATGTAAGTAGTATGTAGTAGTGTGTACAATGTAACCTGACTTAACCATTGAAGTCGGACTGCAGATCCACAAGCGCTGCTTCTCTCCAAAAGTGAGATCTCTCAAGGGGGGGCGATCACCAATTGAAAGCTTCTGCATTCACTTCACTGTATTAGTTTATCAACTTTATTGTACATTTAATTAACTTCAAAGTCAACCAAATCAACGTTCATTGGAATTAAAACAAGTGACACTCGACACAAGTAAAGAACAGTAGGTCAAAGTTCAATATTCAAAGTTACGGGTTCACTCAGCACAGAATTACAAACACGGGAACGAACGCAGTCTCTTTTTGAGTCACAAAGTTCAGCGTTCTCCCGAACAAGCCAAATTCTTTCGTACGATATTAAATGCCACAAGCAACTAGTCGAATCAAATTAACGTCAATCAAAGTTAAGTTAATAATTCAAACCCAATACAAGCCTCCCGTCACGAAACGTACAATTCATACAAATCAATTCGATGCGGTCTACACGAGACCAAAATATTCAATAGTAAATTAGGCGCGCACAATTTACTCAAATTCTAGACCGTCAAAAAATCTAAACCAGCCGCACGCAATCAACCCAGCGGTCGCAAAACAATACTATACGATGGCCCGCGCGTCGATCTACTGTCGTGGCTCTCGACGCCTCGGCAAAACCAGTTCCGTTAATCGCTACATCAGGTGACCGGGCGTGAGCGGGGGAACGCGCGCGGGGGAGAGAGGCCCGGCAGCGAAATAGAAATTAAAAAATTAACATTTAGCGCAAACAATTGGTTCATTTACTTCCTAACTTTTACCCGGGATTTCGTTCGCAAAAACTAAAACAAAAAACTACTTAAGTATCTATATAAGTGGTCTCTTCAACTTTCGAAAAACCACTAGTAGAGTCTATAATTAATAATAATGAATGAAATAAACACAAAATAACACACCTGTGTAGGCTGATTCTCCCACATAATCAGATTCTTGGAAATGATTCCGACATAACCTGCTACGCTTGTCGCTACAAAATTTTTGCATCTTATTGCCTTTTCCCACTTTTTTTAATGTTGGATCTTTGGGAAATAAATGTACACCAGGGTTAACGCATCCTGATACAGCACAAAGAGGCATATTTCGAGAAAACTAAAATTAACAATATGCTAGGTTATTAAATGCATGGATCTGACAGTTCTCAATGGCCACCAGGCCATGTCGATGATACGCCATCTAGTATGAGAAAACGGCAATGATCATTGCCATAGCCATACAATGGGATTATACGAACTGAGAGGGTTTTATTGACGATTATAATGATTATAATTCTGTAAATACATACTCGTTACGGCCGCGAATCATACTTTGTTAAACATACAGCCTGACACTGACCTGCAAATTGCAAAAAACGTAAGAAAATTTGAATTTCTCTGGCTACCCTGGCGGTTTCACCTTAAAAAAGTGCTCTGATGGTAATTTGAATTCATAGATTACCTCCTAATAGATACCGCATCATTGAATATTTGTTCTGTTTCGAGTTCACCAAATTTGGCCCTATGCAAGGGTTGCGGGGGACGTGGCAAATGCGCTGTGATTGGATATTTAAAGGTCAAACTTAGAATGTACCTAACCATAGTGATGGAACAGGGTTGGGACGTTGATCGATAAATTTGGGATTTATTGATTATTGATAATGATAAATAAATATATTGATCAATTTTTATTTGATGTTTATTACAAAATTAAACATTGTATACATATATTTGTACATTTAATTTATAAATATATATTTTACTGATTTTTAAAATGGATAATCTTAGTATAAAATTGTCTCACAGAATTCTTAGGATCTAACTTCCTGGATGGGTAGAGTAATCTTACGAGTATGTCTATGTATTTTTCCATAACACTCTTAGCTAAATCAATGACATGATTACAACTTTCGTGATCGAATTGGTGATTTTTTTATTTCATGAAAAATATCATCATTAACAAAACTGCTTATTTATTTATATTTATTATTTTTATTATATATATATATATATATATATATATATATATATATATATATATATATATATTATTTTATTATAATTATTATTTATAATTAAGCAATCAATTAAGATTGTGTTAAAACTACAAACTTTCTTAGTGTTTTTACAGAAGGTAAAGAAGTATTAAACGTTTTGCGTACATAATTATAAGCCTAGCTGAGTAATTTATGGTGAGTGCAAAAGCTCTTAATTGTGGTGAATATTTTTTTCTAACAATTTTGCCCGATTTTCTAGATTTTAAGTTTTCTAAGGAACTTAATGCGTCATTGTTTTCCGCTGCTAATGAATTTTTGTTTTCTAATTCTACCAATAATGACTTCAAAGAAACTATTTGTGTTTTTAGTTTTCTGTTGGAATCACTTAACTTTTTAACTTTTTTATCTTTTTTGTTCATTACGTTGGTTAATTCGATGATTCTTCTACAAAGACGTTTTTAACTGGAGTATCAAATGCAGATGGCGTATCAGGTATAGGAGAAAATTTTCTTTTTTGTTTTGTAGGCGTTTCTAAGCAATGACTCTGATTTTTAGGTGTTGGCGGATTTTTCGCGTCTTTCAGCGGTGAACCAGTAATCTAAATCAGTAATACATATTCGTTTCTTTTAAAACATTACCGATATAGTATTATTAATTAATACACCATATGGCACGTCTTCCAAATTTAGATGTACTTAATAATTATAATAAGATAATACTGAAGTTCATGTAACACTAAATACCAAGTCAAAACATTAATCACATTATAACTTTTACAAGTTTTATGATTTATAAATCCGTTCAAAATAGCTTGATTTCGACGTGTAACATTTACCTAAACATAAGAATATCATGTTTCACTCAACCACTTAATGATATTATTGTGTAATCTACGTTAGTACTAATCTTTAAAAAAAATGCAAAAAGTCCATACCAAAACTGGCAAGAATCCAACAGCTTTATACGATTTTTCATAATATTATGAAGATGAATATTGTGAAGTGTTTTGAGCATAGTACACTATTTTTGGTGGGAAACCATTCGTCCCCTCGACAATTTGCGTCGATCCACATCTTTTTTCCTTTCGGGGCATTTAGGAAACCTATAACATAATATAGGTACCACAATTATACGTCACTATTTTTATAAAATAATATGACTTCGAAAAAAATAATTAAACGATGACCAAACAAATATCGACTTAAAAATCACAACACTATCGATACACGTGCTGTTGTTAGACAAAGACAAATATTGTAATTTACGTAACGAGTGAAAGGGACATTTCAAAAAGACATCAACGGGTGCTTAATTGTTATCACTTTGCACCATTAATAAACCAGTATAAGTTGATCTCCGGTGCATTTGAAATAGGTTAACGTGATAAGAATAGAATTTACTTACCAATTAAAATTTATGCCATCTTTTTGATAACTGGATGTCTTAGCTGACTTGTCACACCATTTTACTGCACAGGAAGCCATTTGTAATGTATTTTGGATACAAAACTATTTTTAAATTGTCAAGAACTCGGACGTGCCTACGGATCACAAACTTGGTCGATACTGATGTCGTGATTCTTAGCTTCGCTTCGTATGCTAGCTATAGCAAGTATGTGTTGCGCGCGTTTGTGGCCCTGTATGCGGAATCTATTAGGAGGTAATCTATGTTTGAATTTTAAGGTGAGGTGTTTGCCTGCTTATACTATCGCCAATTGTCTGCTTGTTCAACTTAAAATCTCCCAAAACTACGCAATGCGAAGGACCAATTTGTGAAATAGTATACTACATAGGATTATTGTCACTCGATACTAAAAATCTATAAAAAGGTATATTCCGAATGAAATAAAGATATGGCTTAAAGAACAAGCATCCAAGACAAATATTTTAATAAAAAAGAGATTGTTTTGGCTTAAAAACCAGGCATCCAATCGTAATTAAAAAAAGAGATTGTTGAAAGCATAGATAAATATATATGTGGTTGAAAGCTTGTAAGATATTTTGTACATATTTAGTTGAATTTAAATTGAATTTGAAACCATTTAACCCTGGTAACTATTTAATTTAGTCTCCATAGATCTTCGCACTTACGCAGTTCATAATAGTAGTTTGTGATAAATAATACATTTTGTATAAGTTATTCTTTGGTTAGAATACCTGAAGATTGAAAAACATTCTTGTCAAACTGTGAATGCTTCTGGAACCTGCATTGTAAAAAAGAACAACACAGCGTGAACCATAGAACTGTGATTTTTATTACACGAGGTAAATTGCTAGATATTATTATTAAAAATGCCCAAATACTATTGTGATTATTGCGATACTTACTTGACACATGATTCGCCTAGCGTCAGAAAAACACATTGTACTGGAAGAAAACACAAAGATAATGTCAAGTTTTACTATCAGAAATGGATGGAAGAGCAAGCTCAGCATCTTATTGATGCTACAACAGCTGCCTTCAAAGCCGGTAAAATCGCCCAAAATCCGTTTGGCGCCAAAGGTGCAGCTATTCCTCCGCCTTGGGATCCATCAGTAATGGCACCAGGATGTCCTAGACCACCAGTACCAGCACCAGGGGGTCCTCCTGGTATGTTACCTCCTCCTGGAATGGGTCCAGGTGGACCAATGGCTCCTCCAATGATGATGGGACCACATGGACCAATGCCGCCAATGATGGGCATGAGACCACCTATGATGGGCCCTTTGATGGGTCCTATGGGCCCTATGGGACCAATGGGACAAATGCGTCCACCGTTAATGAATGGACCTCCTATGAATAAGTAGTGTTCAAAGAATTGATGACCTACGTAAGATTATATTTCAGACAAGTTTAGTGTTATGTTCTTAAGGTTATGTGAGAAAAAAGTGTTATGATAAATCTTGAGATTGTTAAAGTTTTGAAAACTATGAATAGATTGAGGATTTTATTGACAATTTGAAACAATTTAGTGGACTTGATCATAAAAAAAAATATTTGTATGTAATTAATTTTTGTATTTTATTACAGAGGACTTGACCATAGTTTGCCTCATGAGAGGAATATTTGCCATAGTTGCCACGCTTGAGAAGCAGCTTAGCAATTTTTTTTAATCAGCTGTTATCGAGATGCTGTTGGCCATCTACTGGTTCAGCATGCTTCTGTTACCTCTTATGAGACCCACAGGATATGCCGTAGTGGATATTCTACTGCCACTACATAGTTATGATAATAAATGAATTTTGATTATTATAATTACATTAAGTAAAACAAGACAATTGGGTAAAATCAACATTTATATAAAAAAAGGAATATTTACTATGTTTTGTCAACAAACACTCAAATTACAGTGACAGACTTGCTTATATTAATAATTATAATTTACTTATTGTATACTTTTATTCAAAAAGCATCATATTTTTAAATTACTTGGTTTAAGTTAGTTCCATACCATATCTCTGTGTGGATTAAATCAGCTGTGGAAAACACTTATTCTGAACCGACTGTAGCTGTTATGTAAATTAATTATTGGCCAAGTTTTCGTTTCCTATTTGGGAAATACATTATAATTTTACTAATGACTTGGGGAGTCTGTATCCATTTAAATAAAGTTTTTTGAATATATCAGAATGCTTTTTATGATACATGTTTTCAATTATCAGCATTGATATTGTTGTATCAGTATTTTTTATAAAAAAATTACTCAAGGTAAATAAGAAGCTTGTCCAAGTGTTAAGTATAGGGCAGGCGGTGTGGCAGGGTGTGTAGCAAATAATTAACTTATAAATAAGAGCAGCCCCTGGTGACTACTACAAGGTACCCCATTCCACACAACACTCATTAGCATTGGCACTTAGACGTTACCTGTAGCCTGTTTGAGACTAAAACTGAAGTGAACACATTCCTCTTTTTCATTCATAGTTATTATTGTTTGCTGATGTTCAATTTTTAACCACTAACCATATTATTAGCAAATGTACAGTAGCAAAGATTAGTTTCTGTACCATAGCACAAGGTAAATTTTATTCTTTTAAAACTATACTTATTTCACATAATCTTAAACATACAACTTAAGTTTAGTGTGAATCTATTATTTAAGACAATTTTATAAGATAAATATACTGAAAGAGTTGAATGTTGTTTTATTTTAACTTTGCTTTTGCCACTTCATCTGTGTAGAGGTTCGAAAATGAAGTCATTCTGCATAATCCCAGTCCATATTGACCTTTATTATATACTAGCTGTTCCCCGCGACTTCGCTCACGTGGAATTATTTCAGCTATCTGCCAGTGAAAGTCCCATCCAAATCGGTTTACTGGTTTTTGCGTGATGTGTGTTCAGGCAGACGTCGTGTTAAGAGTTTTATTATAGTATAGATAGATAGATAGAAGAAATCTAGGCTCACGCGTCTGTCATGCGTAAGCTTTTACCCCTCCTCGCCCTTAATGCGCCCGAACGTAGTGCGCGCCGGACCGCACATTTTTATATCGTAACTTTTAAAATATTTGACCAAATTACGTAGTTTAAAAGACAAAGTTTGTCTACTTTGAATATCAGAAGAGATAATAGTATTTATTTTGATAAAAACCAATTAGTTATTGCAAAATGTGCGTTGGAAATAAAGCATCAAATATTATTGTATTTATTATGGTTCACTATTTTGGTAATAATGGCTTACACATAAAATATAGATATATACTGTCGCAGACTTTTTTACCTACCTACCCTATTTAGGAGAAATAATTCCATCATACATTATTTCATGTAGGTAACTCTTACAGTTTTTGCACCGCATGCCAAAATATATAACAATATATACTTAACAATTATTGTTATATTTTGCCCAATTTAAACAATATCTTTATGAATTATAGCCTTTGTGTTATTCTGATGTATGAGCTGTATAATTGTTAAGTTTCATTAAAATCCATTAAGTAGTTTTTATGTGAAAGAGTAACAAACATATGGATGTTTGGACATCCTCACAAACTTTCACGTTTATAATATTAGCAGGAATAGCTTTTGTATTTCTATAACATAGAGTGTTTATTTTTTATAATGATATTATGTGTTATACCGTTATATCTTTACATGTTAATAAAATTGGAGTGGCTGTCTGTAATTTGGAAATAACTACCTATTATTAAGCTCAATTTTTATACTAATACTTCATGTCTGAACAACCATTTTTAATGTTTGCCTTTTTTCTATGTTTGTCCGGGGTCTGGGCTTAACTTCGGAATGGCTAAACCGATTGTGATGAAACTGCATAAAAAACTGATTGAGACAAATTGAAAAGAAATGGTTTTTGTTGTTTATCTCATAAACTATAAGATATGAAAAAAGTTTATATCTTTTATCGTATTTATTTATCTAAGTATCGGACCATAGCAAAAACGGAGAGCCCTAATGAATTCCCACCATTTTAAAAGTCTGATTACATAATATGGTACACTTCACTGAATCAGGGTCCCTAAGCCCTTCTTAATAAGAGAGATGTAATAAAAGTAAGGTAGTAAAGGTCCCTAATTAGGGCGTCTATTCCTTTAGCGCGCTTACCACCGTGCAGTGTAATAATACTTAGGGCAATTAGGGCACTTGTACGACGAGCGCGGAGAGCTGGTGTTTTGTTTTCGTATTTCTGTTTTGGCGCGCAGCCATGTCCAACAAAGAAAAATGAGTGTTGTTATCTATCTATACATATAATAAAACTGTAAATAGCAGACGTCTGTACATTTTATATTTTTGTAATAAAAGTGATTGAGGCGTACTAAAAATAAGTAATTAAATACATTTCTACCATTTTTAGAATTTTCTGTCTGTCTGTCTGTTTGTTTGTTAACGTATCACGTATAAAGTACTAATTTCTATCATAAAAATCGTTAAGGAAAGTATAATTTATACTTTCCTTATACTGTATAAAGTGTATATTCGGGTTACATTTAGTCTTTATTTTATTAAAATCAGTTCATCCCATCAAAAGTTATGATAAATATTCTGAAGTATGGGTACGAAGTATACGTACGAATTTGCTCAACGGTAGCTTTGGTTGAGTCATCAAGTGCATTTTAAACTTATATCATATCATAAATGATAATTAAATTATGTAAAATAATGTTCTATAATGATATAATTATATATATCTAAAACGCAGTAAACAAAAGTATTAAAGAACGTATTAAATATATACAAAAATATTATATTAACCTTATTAACTAAATCTAAAGTAGAATAGTTAATCAATTTTAATCGATAGATGGTGGTGTTGTGCAAATGTAATACAAAAAGGCAGGTTGTGGTGTTTTCCTGTAGATGAGTTTTCATATTTACTCAATTTCATATTTCATACAAACTCTATTTATTCTTTACCGCCGAGTACTCTGGTATATGATAATACGTATGCTAGGGACCCCTGTCCCCTGGCAAACGTCTGCCAAATATTTAGGCGTCACCCTTGAAACGAGGCTCACCTTCGGGCCCCATGTCAAGAGAGTAACCCGAAACGCACGTTTTTATCTGAGTAGGCTCAACAGTATGCTGGGCCGACACAGTAAAATGTCCCTCCGAAACAAGCGTACCCTTTATAAGGTCTGTATACGACCAGTCATGTCTTACGCGGGCCCTATATTTGCTCAATTTCTAAAAACACTGAGAACTTCTTCAAAGCCTAAGAGTCTCACTCCAATCATTTTATTCGTGAGGCAGCTACTTATACAGCCCCACTCCCCTCTAGCTATCGAGTCCGCAGGCCGAGAAACTCTCTCGGACCCGCCAAACAAACTCAACCGACCTGAACTGCCTCCTGGCGGCTCAGGCCGATTCTTCTTAAATTTGCCTTAGTAGGCTCCCCCTCAGCGGCTCGTAGCCGCCTGCGCCCCCTTTTCCCAAAAGAGGGTCGCTTCCGATTCGGCAGAAAGGGTGGTTAGGTTAGTCACACTGAGTCCCACATAACTACGACAGACCGGCTGTCGTGGTATGCATAAAGCATTTACCATCTCCTCGCGTTAACTCGCGTCAAATTCTTTAAGTAAAATCTATATACGCGAGCTACCCGGCGGGCACCGGTAGTCTGTAATAAATTTGTACACCTTATTTGTGGAAGGACCACAAGAACGTTTTGTTAGTTATATTTTTAAGTGGTGCCGCCACACCGCAGCTATATTATGGGTGTAACACGAATGAGTCGGCTCGAATGCGGTAGGACCACGCTCTCACAGAATACCAGAGCAAAATGGCAGCTTAATGTTGCTGTTTTGTATGCTGAGTGTAGAGGTAACGAGGCATTCTATCTTAATCCTCAGGTGTGACAACGCATCTGCATTTTAATTCTTAATCGAGGATAAATCTATGGGCTACAGCACCACCATATTACCATCAGGTGGACTGTGTGCTCGTTTGTCACCCGTATACTATAAAAAAATATAGGTGGCATGACATCCAGCCGCTCCAAAATTCGCTCTTAATGAGTAAGGGCGTAAACGTAAAATCAGTGCAGTGTAATGACTAATGTCACTAATTAGGGTTCACGCCCACGCCAATTTCAAGAAATGTTGTAAGGGAGGTCAATTACAACGCCAAGGATTTAGATTTCCAGGTAAATAAAATGGTGCTTTTTCAGCGGCGGCACGTGTTAAGTACGATGGCGATATATACGATAATTCGTGGCGAACTTACTGCCGACTCAACATCGGCCCGCAGCATAGCCTTGACTATAGCTTCCTCGGGTATTACTGGAAAGCTCAACGGTCGACGTGTTGAAATTGCCACTTAATCTTGCAAGCGAAAAAACGCCAACGGACAAGATCAG